ATAATAGTTGCATTTAGCAACTCAATACTTCATGTTTTTGTTCGGTTGTCAGCCAAATGACTTACCATGAAATTTGTATGAGATCTTCTCATTTCATTACATACTAGATTTTGACCCATACCAAGCGTGAGATTAAATAATTAAATATGTTTTTAAATGAATTTAATATTTCAACGTGTATTGTAATATTATACACGTATAAAATGATATGTATTGTGCATAAATGTAATAAAAGTAAATTTTGATCAAACATAAATATATTTTACGTTAGTTATTTTTAATTTCTCTTATCTACTAAAATAATCATGAATTTTTTTTTTTAATATTCTAATCCCGCGTTTGAATCGGATCAAAAAATCTAGTAGTTATTGAAAATAAAATAAAATATCTTCAAATATTTTTTATATTCTTTAAATAAAATTTTTTATATTAATTATCACATACTCGTTATTTCTATATATTTGTTATTAAAAAATTTTAATAATTTTTATTAGGAAAAGAGTTCCTTAAAAACTTTTTTAGATGACACCTATAATTTTCATCTAATGTCTTTTCTATTAATATATCGAGTATCCGATGTTTAATAATAATAATTTACAGATCATTTAATTTGGTGTAAATTTATCTTTTTGGTCAACAATCAGTGTTCTGTTTTTAGTAATTAAATATGCTTGGGAAACAAATGGGTACTCTTTTTATATGCACCGTTACATATTAAATTCAAGATTTAAAATCGTGAACTTTATTGTCCATTCCATCGATTCAACTTAGCGTGTAATGATTGATGGATAACTTCTAAACACATTTTAATTTCCATGTCAATAAATCTTAATCTTTTTCTTATATACCAAATAAACTTAGACAACGCACATTACGAAGATCGAACAAATCAGAAGAGAGCAGTAAGCAATAACATACGTTGCACTTGGTCTACAACTCTAGAGTCTATATAGCAACAACATTCATGGAATTCTCATTGTACGAAAGGTTAATATTGCATTGTCTTTTGATTTATAAATCTAAGACATATCAGAAGGCTTCCGAACAGCTCGGAGCTGAACAGAGTTGTCAAAACAGTGGTAAAAGCCAAAGTGAGGGAACCTCTCATACCAAGTCTCTTGTGGCACATGTGTGTCCCAGTGTTCTCCGCTGCTGCTTTTCCCGTATTTATGAACCCATCCTGAACCGTTGTGACCTTCGCCCCAACTCCGGTTCCATCTATCACCGTGCTTTCCTTCCCACCAAGTCTCACCTTGTTTCACTCCTTGAGCGCTCGGGTTAAAGTTTTCGTCCCATTTGTCTCCCCATTTGTCCCAACCGTCCCCTACCCACCGTTCCGCCCACTTGTCTGTGTACTTTGTGCTTCCGCCTTGCCCGTCATACTTCTCTCCCCACCTGGTGAAAGCCAAGCAAATCAGATTTAGAAACACTCACAGGTCGAAATAACAAATTAAACAATGGTAGCAGACTAGACAAGGCTACTAACTGATAATAAAGCACCCTAAAGAAAGTGAAAAGCCGATGTTTTGCTACTGAATTTCAGTAGGGTGTTAGATTTGATGTTCGGGAATACAAGACTTATAAATTAAAGGATAAGCATTCAATTTGATGTTAATGAGCTTGATACTACTGTAAGGAATGTGTGAGTGGTGTTTTTGTTATGTGAAAAGAGGATTGTAAGTACCTCTCATGCCAGACATGAGCGTGGCCTACATCAAGTGGTGTGTTGCGGTCAAGGCTGCACCACTTATGAGCCCATTTTTCTGATTTTCCGGTAGCGTCATAATGCTCAAACCACTTCTCTTGCCATTCATCACCTTTCCCACTCTTTCCCCATTTGTCTGCAGTTTTCTCCATATGCACGATACCATTCTCCTGTAATACACAATTTATATAAAGTCTCAAATAGTATATAAAGGCTGCAGATAAGTGGCTTTTTAGATATATGTACTACTTTCCACTGACCTGCATCATTGACTCTTTCCAGAACTCACGCCACACGTTTCCTTCTGCATCACGTCCTGATTTCTCTGAACCAAGTTCCTTGAACCCAAAATCATCAGAAGCCTCCCAATACTTGTCTTGCCACTCAACAACACCATCAGCAGTAACCCCTCGTATCATTGTCCACCTGCAAACCACACCATCAGGTCTTTGCTCAACACCAGTTTGCTTCCACCACTTCAAACCGTTCTCGCTAACTCCATGGGATGAAGACTCATCCAAACTATCAAGTACACGAGCCGCTTCTTCCGCATTTGCTGAAGATATAACCTCAAGGTCATGTTCCGACGATGATATCTCGGAGCTGGGTTTTGTCTCCCCTTCTTTTCGAACTTCGATCAAAGACTCAAAAGGCGGGATAACAAAGCTGTGTTTGTCAGTAGAGAGCATACTCTCGTAAGGTATCGAAAGAGAATCTGCTGAGTGTTCTTTCTCCAATACAGGATTTGACATGATTGGAAACTCATCAGCCTTGAAAGCAGCCTGCAAATCCCCATTCCCATTGGAGCTCATCATTTCACTATCTTGAGGAGGAGTCCAAGACCAAAAATCTGGTCCTGGAGTCTCAGTCCCAGATGTTTCTGTCCGAGGCACATACACTGTTCTGCTCCACATTCCTAGTCAATTCCAACAATACAGCATGAATAAACTCAAATTCTAACAAGTGAGGTGGCTAATACAGAATCAAGTACACCATCTTATGTTCTTAACCTGATGATTACTCTATACAAATCTTGAAGAAAAGAGCAATTCAATACATTCCAACAACACATCTCTTACCTTGTTTCGCATTTTTCTGAGTGTCGGTGACTTCGCTTCCGTCACTCTTCTCCTGATCTGAAAACCCCTCTTTCACGTCGCCGGAATTTTTAGAGGCGAGAATCGCTTTTGCCGCCGAGATCGCAGCCGCAGCACGATCGACGACCTGCATCCTCTGAATCCGATCTCTCTCCTCGACGGAAACCTCAAGGATCTTCTGAAACTCATCGGTTTTCTTCTCTAAATCTTCTTCTTCGCCTTTCTCCACATCGACGGCTACATTCTCGACAATTTTCTCGAAGGCTTTCTCCTTCTTCTCGCGATCAACAGCGTTTTTCCACATGTGAAGGTACGATTCGATTCCTCCTCCTTCATTCGAAGCTCTCAATCCACTTCTCTCCCTTCGATTTCTCCGATTAGCCGTGAAATTGAGAAAAGAGGAGGAGGAGGAATCACGCCGTCTTCCGTCGTCTAAGTGAGGTACGCGAGAGGAACCCAAAGCGGCGCGTACGGAAACTCCAAGACGCGAAGCCATTTTTCGATTTCCGATCAGAGTTTGTTTTTCGAGGTTTCGAAATTAGCGGGTGATATT